AGGCGGTTTTGGTTTACCTTTACCCTTGTGTTTAGCTTTCCCTCGACCCTGGCGACTATTAAACACTGGCTTAGATGCTTGAGCTCTAAATTTCTCAACTAAATATCCAAAGTCTTCACAACAAAATAAGCAACCAGTCATCTCAATAAGATCACGAGGCAGTCGAGTGCGTTCCTGAAATATTTAATTTATTATTTGAATTATATTTTACTAAAATATATTAAAAGTTATAATTATTAAAATGCATCAAAAAAAAAAAATAATAACAAAACAAAGCTTAACAGATGTAAATACCTCTTTATACTCAATTTTTAGAAGTTGAGCTCCACAGTCGCATTCCTTACTCTCTTCTACAGTTATTTTGTGTGCATCCTCAAACAAGTGGAATATCACATCACACTTGTTACAGCCAACTTTCCATTTAGGCCCAGATGATGGGTCTAACACTAAAACCCCGTTATCACATTGCAAACAACTAGCAATACCATTAACATAAAATCCTTGTGGACAAGTTGGATGAAGACACAGATTACAACCGCTATGCTTTTTCATATCTCTGAATGCTGGCTGGTTATAACAATATGGACATAATGGGTAACTGCGACCTTTATTTCCAGTTGACCAAGTAACTAACTCAAAGTCATCTAATGGACATTTCAGTTCCTAAAAATAATACATAATTACTATTTCCTTTCAAAAAAGCTTAACATTACAACAGATTTACTTTATAAATTCTTATATTTCCATTTTGAGGCAAATTATATGTTTCATCACAATGTGAACAATGCAATCGAGATGGTTTGGCTATGATAAGTTTCATGTAACGTCTACATTTTCCGCATCTATAAAAATAAAGTAAAGGTTAGTTATTATAATGTTTAAATTCTGTTTTAATTTTAATGTAATATAAAAAGTAAAAAATGTACCTGGAAAGTGCCTTTCCACTAGCAGCTAATGTGGTGAATGAAACTTCAAACAAAGAATCCATAGCTTCAATTGATTTCACAAAGTATAAATACTTTTGTCGAAAAGCCTCAATAGTCTGTCTAAGAACACGATCATAATTTGCTTCACCTTTGGCTATAAGATTCAATTGATCTTCAATGGTAGAACGCATGGTTGGTTCTACCAACTGTTTATCAATCTTCATAAATAATACAATAATAAACATTAATAAAAAATGAAAATATGAATTATAAATAAATAATGGTAATGTATAAAAATGAATGCAATTAATAATTAATCATAGAGAATTTAATTATAAACCATTTATTTCAGATTTAGGAATACCTTAAATATCATTTTATATTATATTATTATATTTATTATATTATTTATATCATATTATAAAATATTTAAGCAATTATAAAAAAAATCACATGTTAAGAAATTAATACATTTATAATTTTTATGCAAACCTTTTGATATCCATGCACTAAAACTATTCCCAAATTGGTAGGTACAAGTCTCCGTCCAGTAGCAACAGTTACATAATTACGCTGTGATATATTGTTAATATGAACGGGAATAGATGCATCAGTTCCGATCCCGTGTTTTTCCATCATTGATATTAGTTCAGACTCTGTAAGATAACCTGGAGGACTTGTCATGTGATCTGTAAGCCTAGCCTAATATAGACATGATATAGTATTAACGCTTTTTTTTTCTTAAATTAAAATTTTTAAATAATTTTTGTATCAATAATAATAATTTTACATCTTTAATATTAAGCTTTTCATCACGTTCAAAATTAACTGCCAATTCATTTTTAGGTAAAGCTTTCCATGGCGTAATGGCAGTAAATCCAGCATCAATTAAGGTTCTCCAGTTATATGTAAACATTTCTGATCCAATTTTAAAAGTGACTGTTTTAGAATAATATCTACAATCTTTTGATACAGTAGCAATAAAATGGCGAACAATGAAATCATAAAGTTTCCAAGAGTCTCCATCTAATTCATTACGAGATGCTAACATAGTAGGTGTAATAGGAGGATGATCACCACAGTCTTTGCCATTTCTTGGCCTGGTTAAACCATTATTCAGTACTTGGMGTATTTCTTGACCCCATTCATTGCTTTTTTGGAGAGTTCTCATAGCAGGTCTAAAATAAGTAACATCAAATAATATAAAATTTGAGTACTTAAAAAAATGTAAATGAAAGTTTATTAATATAGTATACATTCTTACAGCAATTCAAAATTATCTGAATAATGAGATGTTTCTGTTCGGGGATAGCTAATGTAACCTTGGGTATAAAGACGCTCAGCTAATTGCATTGCATGATGGGGACCCATTCCCAGTCCAGTACTCGCGGCTCGCATAAGCTCCACTGAATTCAAAGCTAAAGGACGTTGTTTTGATTTTTCTTGTTGAGTTATAGAGATAACACTGAAAAATAATAGTAATTAATATATTTAATTATTATTATAAGTAATTAATTTAAGCATACGTTGCTATTTGTTGTTTTTTTAATGCTTGAAGCAAGCTGTTTGAAGCATCACGTTCAAAACATCGACCCTTTTCCCAATTAAGAACTACATCTTGCCCGTCCTTTGATTGAATTGTAACCTAAACACAAAGGCTTACATTATACAACTGAATTATGATACTAAATATTTATAATTTTTTACTTGTATGACCCAATAAGGTTCAGGTTTGAATCTTCGAATTTCATCATGTCGTTGAACACAAAAACCTAATGTTGGTGTTTGACATGGACCATAAGATATTAATGAAGAATCCAAATCACCATATTTTCCCTAAATTTAATAATTAAGAAATATATAAAATGAAAAAATAAAATAAAGAAAGAATTTTGAAAATACTTGAAAATATTTAGTTTGAAAACGAGTGAATGAACAGCCAATACGAAGATCAAGTTCTTGTCTAGCATCAACACTCATTGCCTCATTACGATTCGGAAAATCTAATCTTTCCATAGCGCCTTTAATATCTTTTGCCGTAATAGCTGAAAATTTTGCTCTCCAAATCCTCTGCAAATAATTAAATGTTTTATAAACATAATTTTATAAAATATATACAATGTAGGCTATTTGTTTTTAATCACAAATTAACATAAGAAAATAAGAAGACACAATGGTAAATATTTTACATTCTCCAATTAATTTTTTAAAAATAGATCTATTAAATAACTAAAATATTGTACTTACATTCATTTCACCAGAACGTTTCATAGAACTTTTAACAGCATCAATAACTTCAAAGCAAATATTTTCACCTTCTTTATCACAATCCAACCACAATATTAAAAAGTCTACACCACGTGCTTCGGATGCCAGCATTGCTGGAATACGTAACTTAGGAGACGCTTCTTTCTTTTCAGTTGGGCAAGAAAAAAGCTCTTCCTGTTTTTAAAATGAATGATATTAAATTAAATTTTAATCTTATAATGATATGATCTAATTGCTAATTACTGGATCAACTTTATCCCAATTGTTGAATTTACTATTGAAGTCTAAAGTCATAACATGTCCACAGACAGAAGTCATTTTAAATATCACTGGTTCCCCAAAAAGTGTTCCAGACCATTCGTGTACAGGACATGCAGAATTCATACCTGTTTAGGACATAAAACGTTATTAATTTAAAAAAAAAATAAATAGAATTAAGTAATCCTACATTTAATAAGTAAAATTTACTTTAATAAATATAAAATGTAGAATCAATCTATATAGAATATGATAAATTGAAATGTAATGAATAAATTGATTTTTTTTTCCAATAATAATCTCTACAGTTTTTGATTAACAGATACTGTAATATAATTATTTTTATGTGACATAGTCAATAATTTTAAATGTATAAGCATACTGCAAATTGATGTTTGAATTAAATCAAATAAAAAATGAATCAAACCTTACAAAAGAACAAATTACTTGGCGCATTTAAAAAATAATAAGGTACTTGTACAAATGTTTTTAAAAATTTAAGAATTATACTACACATTAGATAAATATTTCAAAACAAAAACATGACTTAAAATATTTTAAATTATTCAACAAAAAAATAGGTACAAAGCAATTAAGTAGACCCAACTCCAAAATGTGGACTGTCAACTTGAATTTATGAATATTTAATTTATTTAATAATTAAGTTACTTTTTCTAGAATTACTGCGTCCATTGCTTAGTATGTTGGCGAGTGAAGAAGCCAAAGAAGGTTTTTCTGCCACCATCAGAGCAGTCTTCATGATTACGAATTATACGAAGCGTAATAGATGAACTAATATTGCAATATCACCGACAATTATTGGACGGAATATTCATCCATCTGCTAGGTTATTGTCAAATATGGCGCAAACAGGAGCATTGGACGCGTTCAAGTGTTTCGATGACCGGCATTTACCATATTGCACGAGAGTCAACTGTACGGCAACTACTTAATAAAGATCGAATCAGCCGAAAGGGTAAAACAGCAACACACATGTCACAGATTTAATGTATAAAACATTTTTTTATTTTGAATTCTACAATTATTATTGTTTAACACCAAATACCAAAACAACCAAACCAAACTCATTGATAAAAAAAATGTAATCAATGCACATGTTTGACGCATTACAGTCTGGCCAACAATCGCAACCGAGGCGAGCTAGCCGCTTGGTAATTGGTATATGCTTTATCACATTTCTTATCACACTCCGGTAGAACTAGACCCCAGAATAACCAGAATGGACACTCGCTAAGGGCACCATAGATAATAAAAGAATGGATAGGCCATTCCTATATTAACAACATAGGGGTTTGCGGGACGGAATGTGGATGAGACATAGACTCATAGATAATANTCATAGATAATAAAAGAATGGATAGGCCATTCCTATATTAACAACATAGGGGTTTGCGGGCCGRAATGTGGATGAGAGATAGACTGCTTTTATATAGTGCTCTCACTTTAGTAAGGGGTATTATCATTTATTTTATTTCATGATAACTGATATCTATATGATATGATAATAAATAAATAGTTTTGGTGGTTTTTATTTATTAAATTAAGTAATATTTCTATATTTTTTATATCAAAAGCTACACCTAACCAATCAGTATGTAGTAATCATTTTGATCCAGAATGCTATAATTTTAGTTATAKTAGAAAAATGCTCAAACCTTCTGCTGTACCATCGCTGTAAGAATATTCTTTATTTATCAATAATTGCCATATTATTTTTTAATATTGATATACATGTAAAATATTATTGATGATAAGTATGTTCAGATAAAGTTTTTTACTACTCTTTAATTTATCAAATATATAATATTATATTTTAGTTCATTTGAAAGTATACCAGATTGCCCAGATCCATCAATATCACCAATTCCATCTACATCTATAACTATGCATAAGTATGTATTATATATTTAACAATTTATAATTTAATTGTATTAATGATAGGTGAACTGAGATATGAATGTTTTATATTTTTATCAATTAACATTTTAGACGCTGTGAGAGTCCTKTAGATTATTCTTGTTCGACCCCCAAGAAAACAAAGACAAGTTTATCYTATGAGCATTCTCCAAACATGTATGTATATGTTATCTTTTCTGATATCTTGTTTTACTATATAATGCTAATAATAATTTTAGTACTGTTATTCAAATTGTTTGACTTTTTGTCAGGTGTCTTAAAAAAAACAGAGTCTACAACACAAGTCGAATTGGTGATTTTACATCATTTGATTTTGKAACTCCTAAACGKWCATCAAGGAATCTGAAAGTTGTAAAAAAAATAGTTCAAAACTTGAGACAAAAAAACAAAAATTTAAAACAAAAAAACAGACGTTTAGAAAAAAAAATTGCATCATTGAATGATATGTTTTCTGTTCTAAAACAAAAATCTTTAATAACTGAATTTATAGCTGATAATATGAAGGTATTAATACTAAGAAATATCATTATATAATTGTTGGGCAGTAAAATAAATGTTATATGGTAGTATAAAATGTTGATATTTTTTAACAATGTAAAATTATTGATTATTATGTTTTATTTGTTTTAGAAGGTACTAAAGTAATGATATGTATATGTTGGATGTTTTCTGTWTCTTCTTATTTGTTGTTTATTGTTTATTTCTAATAATTATATAGTTATATACTAACTACATAAGTTGTATTAACTTTTTGTAATTAATTAGTATTTTATTGTATTCTAATATTGTCTTAACAATGCTTGTGTTTTACTGTTTTTTAAATAAATAATTGAATGTAAATACATGATTAATTTGTTTATCCTAGGCTTTTGGTTCAGATATTCTGGAAAAATGTATTCAAAGAGGGCTAGAAGGTAAAAAACAGGTATATTGTAACACGCTTAAACAGTTTGCTGTTACTTTACTGTACTACTCTCCAAAAGCGTACACATATGTCAGGAAAAGATTTAATAATTTGCTTCCTCATCCACGCACATTACGTAGGTGGTTTATGGTAGTTGATGGTAAACCTGGATTCACAAAAGAGTCATTTGAAGCAATTAGAAAAGAAGCAGGAAATCACTCTGTATATTGCAATTTAGTTATTGATGAGATGTGTATTAGGCAGCAAGTTGAAATTGATAGTCAAAAAAATGTTCATGGATATATTAACATGGGAGCTGAGCATTGTTATGACAGTGATGATATTCCACTAGCAAAAAATGCTTTAGTTTTTTTGGCTGTAGGCATAAATGGTTACTGGAAGATGCCATTGGCTTATTTCCTTATAGATGGATTAGGAGGTAAAGAAAGAGCTAACCTATTAAAGGAAGCAATTAATTTATTGCATGATACTGGTGCTAAACTCCAATCAATAACATTTGATGGAGCAAATGTAAACACAAGAATGTGTACTGAATTAGGTGCTAACTTCAATTACGAGAACCCTCATGCTTATATTACTAGTAAATATGATGAAAAATTATTTATTTTTCTTGATCCTGCTCACATGCTGAAATTAATCAGAAATGCATGGGAACACAGATCAGTTATTAAAAATTCCAATGGAGAGATTATTGATTGGATGTACATTAAAAAATGTATGAATTAGAAAGAGAACAAGGGTTAAGAGCTGGGACTAAACTGACAAAGAGACATATCAATTTCCACAATGAGAAAATGAATGTTCGGTTAGCAGCTCAAACATTGAGTCAAAGTGTTGCTGATGCACTTACTTATTTAAAAAATACAAATGAAGATTTCAAAGGAGCAGGGCCAACAGCAGAATTTATATCTTTTATAAATAATGCATTTGACATACTAAATAGTAGATCAAGATTTTCGAAATCACCATTCAAACGTGCTATTTCTGATGAAACWTTAGATGACTACAAAATATATATACAACTATTTATCAAATACGTGAAAGGCCTAACATTTTTAGATGGGATAAAAGTTGTGGATTCTGCAAGAAAAACTGGATTTATTGGTTTTATTTTGGGACTCCAGAATGCAATAGAAATGTACCAAAACTTACATTTAAATGGTAACTTGGCATTTTTTTAACTTATAAAATAAGTCAAGATTTTATTAAAACAACATTTAGTGCCATTAGATCGAGGCTTGGATATAATGACAATCCAACTTGTATGCAATTTAAGRCAGCTTATAAAAGAATTTTGGTGCACAATGAAGCAGTTGGGTCAATATTTGGAAATTGTTCTATTTTGGATAACACAAAAAATCTAAGTGTAACTGAAAAGGCCAAAGACTCAGTATTAGCATTAGAAAGCTACCTCATCAAAATATCTACAATGACCACGACTATTTTGAAAATTATACAAAAATAAGCTCATTTGTAGAAGATACATCTATGTATATTGGTGGATTTATTGTTAAAAAGTTATTAAAAAAAATAGAGTGTGAAAGCTGCCAAAAATGCTTGATTCAACAGATTGATAAAAATCCTAATTCCTAAACAAATATTAAGAATCGAGGAGGATTACTGTATCCTAGCAAAGCTGTAGAAGTACTGTCAAGAATCAGAAAAAATTTTTAGAAGTGAATCTCCATTATACTTCAACCAGTCAAAGAACAAATTATATTTAATCAACAAAGTAAAAACAAACATTTATAAAGAAGGAAAAGAAACAATTCCATATTGCACTGGACAAGAATCGTTTTTAAATAGACATGCGCACAGAGAAAATGTAATAATTAATAAATATGTTGACATTCGTATTTTTCACGAAATTAGAAAAATCAAGGACAATATCAAGGAAAAACGTACCAGGACTAAATTAACAAAGCTTATCCATTTTAATCATGAGTAATAAACTAATAATTTATAAATTAAATACTTATATTATGTATTAAATATTATATGTGTACTGAATATTGTCATTATTATACCCATTCTTATAGATCCGGATTGTGATTTATATATTTATTTAAGTTTCTACATAGGTAATGAACTTTTAAATAATATAACAATGAATTATAATATAGACTTAAAATATAATAATATTACTGAAATAAATTATGAATAACGAAAAAACTCATAAAACGAATACTGTCAATTTGTTGATTAATGATTATTATTTATTTTAATATATTGCAATTTTGATATTTTGATAATAGAATATAGATAAAACCCCTTGTAACCTCAAAGTAAAATAATGTTCATGCTCGTGCGATAAGGCCAAATGGCCTATCCATTCTTTTGGATCTATGAAGGGCACCTACTAGTGGCTTTTATGATAACTTATAAACACTGTTATTATGTGATAAAGAATGATACAATTTAAATAGCGGGAAATCGATTTTTAAATTGATACGCAACACAATTATTACCACTACAATTAATAAATTAAATAGTATGTTCAGTGACAATTACAGATATAGATTATTAATAAATATATTTTTACTTAATTGAATTAAACAAGTTGAAAATCCATCTACATTTTCCTTTTCTATATTTAGAAATGTCCCGATGGATATATGCATGAGAACGGACTAAAACGAGACATAAATGATATTATATCCACTGTTCAGTATTGATATTAAAAAAAAAAAATTAAATTAAACTCTCAGGCAATTTTTTTCAATTAAATCCTTGTGTGTACTTAACCAGAATGTAGCCATCGTAATGTCGAAAAGGATCTTCCTGTATGCAGTAAAATGATTCATAGGTATAAGCATTGTAACAATACAAACAATTATTATTTTTAATAACTGTTAATTATTTAACTCGAATAACGATGTTGAATTTCACAATTTTTAGMATAAAAATTATTTTTGATGTTAGTTTATTAATTTATTATCATTTCTATATTTGATGAATATTTCAAGTTATAACATTTCGTTATTTCTTTTTTAATAACAACTGTAAACAAAACAACATTGAATTTAACGCCCCATTCCCTTTCATAACTTAAGTGCTAACTGAATCCATTTTTATACCAAAAACCACCTATCAAAGTTAAAGATTTTAACATTTTTTTGGTTCCAAAAAATGCTGACAAGCATACACACAAGAACAAAAATATCATCATAAAACCTGCAATATACATACATATTATGTGTTTAGATTAAATTCTTAAAATTAATATTATTTTTTAAGACGGTTAAATTAATCTACATTTTATGAACTTTGACCAATCACCTATACGTAATTATTGTTGTTAACATAAAATAAAAAAAATATTATAGGTATGATGTATGAAGTACCTATAATAGGAGGAAGAAACAAAGTCTAAATTTGTCTTTTGAAAACATAAACAAATAAACTATTAAAAAATAATAAATCTGTATTTAATAAAAATTGTTTTTTATGAAGTTCGAGCAATATAATATATATATTGTATTTCTCATTGTAGTATAAATAGGTTTGGTTTAATAGACACTAGGCATTCTATACATAATATTTTTATAAGTAAATATTGTCCAATTATTAAATTATTACATATTCTGTCATATTTTGCAATAATAAAATAGAATAAAAGTTCACAAAAAGCAGGTGATTGGATAACAATATGATGTAGGTACATTAGGTGTCTAGAATCAATGTAATGGATATATAAAATTTGAATTCAATAATCATTACCTATACAAAAAAACGATTCTGAGTGAAGACGTCTTGTAAATTAAATTTTGTGATATTATTGTGATTAAAGTAATTACCTATCTAACTTATAGTATTGAGCATTGTACCTACTACAGTAGTTAAATTGATTTTTTCCAAAAACATTACGTTTGAAAATGACATTGTGTGTAGGTACATAAATCTACAGTAAATTGAAAATTCACAATAATTTTTAATCATAATAATAAAATTATATCATTTATATAATATAAAGGCATCGACCAGTTCGCTGCAAAATAATCAACAAAATTTATGTTACAACAGTAACATATAATTTTTCAAACTGTTCTATTGTTTATTAAAATTATTCAAATAATAAATATATTACTCTATGGACTAGACCACTAGATATTGTAAATAATAATACCAATTAATTATTATTATTATTTATTTTATCGACATTTGCATAATATGTTATTGTCTACGCTTAGACCACTCTACACGCGTCTTACAAACACGTTCATACAAACAAATTAACAATACATATCAAATTTCCTTTCATAGTTCAGACGTATAGGCGTATAGCAATAGCATCAGTTTTTTCTGTCTTTTTACTTATTAGTTATAAGTTTTAACTTAATAGTTATTATTAGAGCCCAAGACCCTCAAATTCGTGGGGGGGGGGGAAGAGAGACCTGTAGTACAAGTGCCTGGCATTATCATACAAATAATATTACTTCAATGTATATTATAAACATGTTCGGGACTCGAATTTAGTTCTGTACCAGGTCCAAAAATATGATGTGGGAGCCTAGTGTAGGGCCCAGTACTTAATCCAAAACAAAACAAAAAATAAATAAAAAATAAAACAAAACAACGAAATAGTGCTTAACCTAACATAATTTTAAATAGCCAAATTGGCCGTAAAATATGCAATTATTTTTTCTTTTTATAGAATATGGCAATATGCATTTATCCATATGCGGGAATAAGGGAATAAATTCTAAAAGCAGTTTATAATAATTATTTAAAAATAATTATTCAATCTATATAGTATGTTAAGTTATTGTTATAATAATAATAATTATTAAAAAAATATTCGTTTATAAGTAGGTACTCAGATAGATACATAAATAAAATCTTTAAAGCATGAAAAATCGCTTTAATTTAGAAAATATGTAAATCAATGTACCATGCATTTTTATTTTGGTAGTCGGTAGATTTCAGTTGTAATACTTGTATGTAGGTAATAGGTATTACTACCTATCAATTTAGAAATTCTGAAAATGAGAAGCAGCTTATTCCCGTGAAATATATCGAAAAGTATACGATGCCTCAATTAGATATTAGGTGCAATAGTTTGGTTGAAGTATGGCTTTTGGGTCTGGACACCTATAATTAATTGAAATTTATTAACACATAAAATCTCAATATTATTTTTCATTAATTTTCTTGTTATTAGGTAAGGTCACACTGTGCACGCAACGTCCTTGCCGTGACCTACACCCGAACTCCATAATATCATTGATTTTTCCCATACGTCGTAGCTATCCAGACCCAACCCACAATTTTGCAATCTATTTCGTTTTCACTCTTCAATTTCCTTCAAAGCCTTGCGGCCGCAAAATCTCTCACTTTATCTTCGACAGCTTTATCGATCAAAAGTTTTTATTTCTACGACGGTGAAAAAAACTGGTAAGTGTCTTCCGGTTATTGTACAATTAGTATTTTTACATGATTATATGGTAATTTCAACCATAATCCATTTTATTGCCTTTAGTATACTTACTATAGTGTCGCGTATTACTTTATTTGAATTTTCTATTGAAAATTCATTTAATTCCATGAGTGTCAAAAATGAGAAACGACCCATTGATTAAGGTTTGCCCGTTGTTTTAAATTTATATTAGATTCGAGTCACATCTTTATTACATTTATGTACACCATATGCATTCGATCAATGTATTTACCATACCTATTAGCGTTCGTGACCTTTGAATTTCGATTTGACTAAATCACTATGTCTAATACTATTTATTTATTTGAGTCAATGTCACTGTTGTTGCTTGGCCTTTTTTTCAAGTTCAAATACCTGTCTAATTGTAGGCCACATCATGTATTTGTTGGCGTCTATTCAGTATTTAATAGATCGCTGTATCAGAATAAAAATAAAAAATAAAATAATACATGGTGTATTTATTCATGTAAATAGAATGACATATATATTTTTAGAATTTTAATGCATGAATTAAAAAAATACCAATTGTATTTAAGTTTGAGGTATAATTAAATCAAAACTTAGTTAATTGTTGTACACTTAAACCAAAAAATACAAAATTAAAAATCATTATTATTATTGTATGTTTTTATTATTTGTTTTATATGTATAATTCACATAACATTGTAAACTATTAGGACAATTTACCTAGACCGTGTATTTGTTTTATAACTTAGTATTTATTTAAATACAGTAAAACCACTTAGTAGATTAGATATATTCTGTGATATCTATAGGTACCTACAAAACTACTAACTAGTTAACTTCTAAATGAAAATTTATCTTAAAGACTAAACTTATTATAAATATAGGAAACATTTTATTTAGTTATGAAATAATGTTTCTTATGTCTATACCTATAGATATTATTTTTTAATTTATTTAGATTTATTTTTGACTTGACTGTAATTGCCTACTTATTATGAATATAATTTTAATACAAATAATAGTTTATGAAATGTCTAGGATCTTATCTGTTTAAATTTATATTATGACCTTTTAATTAAGACATTTATTAAAAACAAAATAAAACTTGATTGAGGAATAGGCTATAATAATATGTTAACATTATTTAATGAGAGTTGTTTTGAGATCACCAAAATAAGTCCAACAATATACCTAAAGGTCACCTTGTTGATAACCAATAGTTGTTTGAAATGTGTCAGTAACTCAGAACTCTAGCAATAGTAAGTGTGTTATTTAAAAAAATTGTGACTGTTTAATTGTTTTATAATTTTCCTAAACTACTATAGGTGGTTACTTAATTTTGATTTTTACTTTTTCTATTATTAATAATTCAAAGTAAGTCGAAAAAAATATTGTATTACAGTTTTTGGTTTTCAGTTTTAGATGCTATTGTGTATTATTAATTTATATTTTATATTATATTATATTTTATGTGTGTATTTAATGAAGTTGTTGATTTAATTTTAACATAGAGTTAATATGTAGAATTATAAAAATACCTATAATTTTAAATTTTAGAATTATTTATTTCTGATAATGTTACCTGGATTTTGTTGTTTGCTATTATCTTTATAATATAATATAATACATTAATAATTTATTTGGAATTTATAAACTAGAAATTTCTATTTTTAATTATTTTGTGAAAATTAATCTTCTTTCTCCTAACAGTCTCAACCATCATGTTAAATCTTTAAAAAATATTTAGATAATTATATAGTAAAATGAATTCAACAATATCATAAAATTCACATAATATAATTTATAATAATAAAATAAAATAATGAATGTACAATAATATATCAAGTTATTCATGCTTTTGTTTATGAATTTTATTTTAATAAAATTGACTACATAATTTATGTCTATTGTATACCACTTTCATTATGTAAATACCAGTTTATATCTCATTTTTATATTTTTTTCACTCATTAATTATTATAATTTTAAAATTTTAAAATCTTTACATAAATGTTTAATAAAAAGCTTATTTTTGTTTTAAAATATTAGGTCTGTTCATTATTATATTAAATAATTTGTATATGTATTTAACTGCAATTTGGTTTTCTGTTTAAATAATTTTAAATTAAAAAAAAAATATTCAATTATCAATTTAACTTTTAAAGTATTAAATAATTTATCTAATTTTTTAAAATGTTTGTACAATTTTATTAATAATTTATGATTTATGTAGGTACTAGGTATATATATTATATTATACAATAACATTTTATTGACATTTGACATTATGCGTGATTAATAAATGATAAACTAAATCTTTTTGAAAAAATCAAGCTTTTATGTGGGAACTGAAATACTGGGTATGAATACCAAATTTCATTATTAAGAGGTCTCATATACTTAATTATGGTTATACTGTATTTTTCTTAAAAACTTAATTATTTTACACCAAACTCAATTATAAGTTAATAAGTATAATATTTATTTTCAGAATATTATCAAAATGACAACCTACTTTGAGTACCCATCTGTAGAACTCCAAAATGAACTTAGCAAGATTGCTAATGCCATGGTAGCTGATGGTAAAGGTTTGTTAGCTGCTGATGAGTCAGTGTCAACCATGGGGAAACGTCTTCAAGATATTGGAGTTGAAAATACTGAAGATAATCGCCGTGCTTACAGACAATTGTTATTTACTGCTGATGAACCTTTAAATGATCGTATTTCTGGTGTAATTTTATTCCACGAAACTCTTTACCAAAAGACCGACGATGGTGTACCTTTTGTTGAAATTCTTAAAAACCGTTGCATTATCCCTGGAATTAAAGTTGATATGGGTGTTGTGAACTTATTTGGGTCTGAAGGAGAAACTACCACTCAAGGTAAATTTTTAATGTAAATAATAATAATAATAGTAATAATATTTTAAACTTTTCAATACAGGGTTGGATGATTTGGCTCAACGTTGTGCTCAGTATAAAAAGGATGGATGTCATTTTGCTAAGTGGCGTTCAGTCTTAAAGATTGGAAAGAATATTCCTTCATACCAAGCTATCTTGGAAAATGCTAATGTATTGGCTAGATACGCTTCCATCTGTCAAGCCAATCGTATTGTTCCAATTGTAGAACCTGAGGTTTGTATTAACCTTAAACTATATTTTGTTAAAAATAATGTTTTATTGTATGCTTTATATTTCATTGTTATAGGTATTATGTGATGGAGATCACGATTTGGAACGTTGCCAAAAAGTCACTGAAACTGTGCTGGCTGCAGTATACAAAGCTTTAAATGATCACCATGTGTACCTTGAAGGTACTATTTTGAAGCCTAACATGGTTACTCCTGGCCAATCTGCTAGTAAAAAAGCTACACCTGATGAAATCGCCAAAGCCACAGTAACTGCTCTTCAACGCACTGTCCCTCCAGCAGTTCCTGGTAATTATTAATAAAAAAAAAGTCATCAATACATTTTTAGTTTTATTCTATGCTTAACAATCAACGTTTTTTTAGGAATTATGTTTTTGTCTGGTGGTCAAACTGAGGAAGAAGCATCCGTGAATTTGAATGCGATTAACAAGTATAATGCCAAGAAACCATGGGCATTGAGCTTCAGTTATGGGCGTGCTCTGCAAGCTTCAGTTTTAAAAGCATGGCAAGGAAAGAAAGAAAATGTTAAAACTGCTCAAGATGAACTTCTTAAGAGAGCTTTGGTTAGTACAATTATAATGTTGTATTGAATACATTTAGATTAAATTATTATATTGGTTGAATTTTGTTTAGGCAAACAAACTATCAGCTCTGGGCAAATACGAAGCTGGTTCTGTACAAACAGCTGCTGGTTCTCAAGGACTATTTGTTAAAGATCATGCCTATTAAGCAACAAACTAAATTTTCATTAATATTATAAAATTTATACATTTTAAGTCAGTTACCAAATTATGAACACTTATTATAGTAACAGCTTTTCTTCATGTTTTTATGTCATTGTTAGAATTTGTCAATATTAAAAATATATATTTGAATACTATTATTATATTTTGATTTGAATTTTTAGTATACACTATACTATTAATTATTAATTTAGAAGAATATAAGAATGTTTTTGGTAATTGCGCGATTGGAGTATATAAATTTATCAGTACAGTCAGATTTTATATTATAAGTTGAATCTAAATATTTGCACAATATTTAGAAAATAAAGTCTTAGGTATTATATGTTGTTGGATAATTATTCACATATTATAAAAAATTATCTTTTTCTAAGATATAATTGAGTAATTAGATATCTTAAATTTGTATTCTGAAATAACCTTTAAAACACTGGTATTTATATAAATAAAAGTAATTGTATTATGGAATACAAAAATAAATATTGTAGATGTTAATCATGTATTTTTTTTTTATTGTAATCTATATTTTATAATATGATATTAAATTGTTATCTTATTAACTATGTTGGTAACAATCTTAGCACTTGTTTTAAGAACACTGGCATATTATAGTATCGTAATAAATAAAAGTAATATAATATTATTATTTATCTAAAAATATTACAATCATATACATGGATTAAAGAGATATTATGTATTAAGCATGTTAGATAACCACCTCACCAATTACATTTTTGCTGTTTAAATTAGTTGGCATAAACAACGGGTGCGCATTATTTCTATGTCTTAAAGATTGAAAATTTAAAACAAGTTTTCTTTTCAATAGTTAATACTGTAACCAAAAAATAAAGAATATATATAAACACTGTTTTTTACAGACATTTTAATAAAAATTTGATGAAATTAGATATTTAAACAAAGAATTACCAATTTTCCGTAAATTAAAAATTATACTGTAAAAAGTAATAACTAATGTTTAGTATTTCTTTCAAATAGGAAATTTGAAAGAAATACTTTCTAAAATGTTTTCTGAAATAATGAGTGTCATGCCTTAAAGGGATTACTTGTCGTATATATATATTATGTAAAATATACTCATTATACACTTATATCATGTATTCATGTAGGTACCAACAGGGGCGGATAGGCCCATAGGGAAATAAGGATTTTCCCTGTGGGGCTGTGGGCCCATGTTCAAGTATATTCGACTTGGTATTTGTATATTAAATTAAATGATAAATCTAGATATACAAACTAGAAAATATTAATACTTAATAATGTCCATTAAAACTCTTGGCCTTTGTGATTTTTATTTATAATTGTAAACAGTACCTTTTACTATAGGTAATGATAAAACATTGTTGTGGTCACGATTTAAGATAGTGGTTGTGGTTAAAACACAATTAAAGATAGTACTATCCTAACTATCTTAAATCGTGGTTAAAATCACGGACTAAGATATAATGGACTGGCATCGAATAGGCTGGGGGAGTAGGAGGGACCGAGCATCAAATGTTATGTTCTCTTCACCTCTCCACCATCATACAAAAGTCCGAATGATTAGAACGCCATCTAGTGGTAATATTCTACAAATAGGCCGCGAGCAGYCAGCAGCGTAAAATTGGTTATTCTTTTKATGYACTGTTTTAGTGCTTTTAGCTTTAGCCTGTTAGTACTTTGTAGTTCCATTTTCCATTGTATTGTAAATATTTGTAATTTTAAATTTATAATTATTTTGAAATTAATTTTATCAATATAATGGGCGTGTAGATAGCGCTAAAATCATTCGGACTCAAATTCCCCCCGCACTCCCGCGTCGCGATACATTTTTGGCTCACAGATATTGCACTCGATGCCAGTCCATTATATCTTAGTCCGTGGTTAAAATATTACGAATGAAAATTATAAACTGCTATTTTTAGAACAATATGATAAGGCCATGCATGCTACAGTGGATGGAAATTTATAATAATATTACATTTAGGAATTTAGCAATGAGAATATTTATATACGCATAGATAGTGGAATGAACTAACAGACAAAGTAGCGAGTAAAAGTTCAGTGTTAAGCAAATTATTATTATTTTAAATGTACCTTATCAAATATTAATATTCTTTTTAAATCAATAACTAACATTTAATTTACCATGTTTATTCATTTTAAAATCCTAATTTATTATTATTTTTTTTTTTATTGAAGTGCACTGTCTTATATTTTACTTAAAAAATATATGAAATGTATGAGATTGAAGATAATAATATTTGTATTGAATGTCAGTTGCAAACGAAGTGAGCACTTTTTTATTTTTGGTTTATGTGACCCCCAAAGGCGTGCACAGGGGGGATGCCGGGTATGCCATGGCATCCCCTGCAGTCTACTCAGATAGCTTGTTTATGTTTTTACTTTTAATAGTGTTAACTATCAATATTAACATAATTTTTATCACAAACGTAACAGAGAGTTTTGTAATTATGTATTGCATTTTTTAGAAAAAAATTCTGATTTCTGTTTTTTTTTTTTTAAGATAAAAATTGAGTTATTTTGGTTTATATTGGCATCTCCTGCGAATAAATTCTACGCACGCGTATGGTGGCCCCATGACATATTTTCCCTGTAAGAAAAAAACTGCCTATCCGCCCCTGGGTACCAACTGCTTACCTACTAGATGTCTGGGCGTTGGAAAATCTTTTACAATATTTATTGTTAAATAATATGATTACAAATTATTATTATTTTTTAAATACCAATTAAATGAGCGTGAAGAGAGAGGTAGTCGAAAATGCAACAAAACTTAAACAGTTAAAGACTACATTGAACACAAAGACAAAACTGATTTGAGATTGATGTTTGGTACATATCTTACTAACATATTTATCAGTTTTATCTTAAACAATTTTGTATATAATTATAGTATAAAGTTTTGATTTCATATATTTATTTAATAGGTACAATGTTAATTATTATTTATTAGATTATTGGCCAAATTACTAAGCAATAATAATTTGTAGTATTCGTGGTTACTTAAGTGATGAATAACTTCGTTGAATTTTTAATTAGATATATTTATTATTTTCAATTTTAATTTTTTTGTTTAAAATGGTATAATTATTTACTAGTTTATGTGACATAGTATATTTAAAATCAAATCAATTAACAACATGTCATCGCCGGATATTTCTTTGAACAAACCAGGATTAAATCATTTGCATCCTATAATTATATTCACAAGACCTATTCAAGGTGGAGTTTTGAACCGTAGTACATTGATCAAAGGACTGACCAACATGATACGACACGGAGAGGTTGAGAATTACTTCTGTTTTACTGAGCTTGTTTTAAATAATATGGTTGGTAAAATTAATATTTGATTTTAACATCATGTACGATTGGCTATAACGCATTATATAGGTAATATATAAAAAGTTATAGTTTGTCTACTGGCGCGACCAGAGATTTTCGGCTGCATACCCCTTACGCTATGTCCTACGTGAACGCGGCAAACGCGGCAAAAAACAAAACAGCTTGTATTTCGCATATTATTATTATTATCGCATCGCGACGCGAAAAAGGAACAGCAATACAGCATGGTCAGGATAGAATTCGTTCGCACTCGCCGCGTTCGTCGCGTTTATGTCGAACACAGCGTTACGTGTTACGTCCCAAATTGTTATTTTTAAAGAAGTAAATAAAATTTTAATACGTTTATTTTGGTACATAATCTGTAGGTATTCATTTAAATGTTTGATAATGGAATTCATTTATTCCGTGATATAATATATAAATATTCCGTGCATTGTGCAATGTTCTGATGTTCAATTTATGTGCTTTTAAAAACTAGGATGCAACAAAACTGATACTAGAACCACAGAATATATGAAATTTATTTAATTTATTTCATATATTCTGTGCTAGAACCTTCTACAAATAAAGATATGCACTCCTAGATGATATGACTMGTTTTTGGCGGGATGCAACTATTAGACAACTCATCTACTATAATAAAAACCTTGGACGCAGGTAGTGACCAAACCTCACTAAACCGAATTTTTGGGCACACACTATAGTTGCCTCCCGATGTCAAAAAGACCCATCATTTTTATACGAATTGCCTCCCGACTATATACGAGTTGCCTCCTAAATCGTATCCTAACTCGTAGGTAACTCGTTAGGTAACTCGTACCCTAAATGTTATCATAAATTAAAAGAATCTAGAACTAGTTGCCTTCCATTTGTTATATTAAAATAATTTTCATTGATACCCAAATAAAAAAGCTGAGTGAAAAAAAATATCAAATTTTGAGTACCTACAAATATTGGCTAAAAAATACAAGCCTAAGCAATGTTATAAATAATGAATAATAAATAATTTATTTTAAATGTCGTATCCCAGACAGACATGTTTGTCTAAAATTACTATTATAACATTATTCTATATATTATACCTAAGACTGATGTTTTTTAACTTCACTATTTTAATTAGTAGTAAAATATGTTTTATTTGTATTGATTATTTTTATATTATTATTGTTTTTACCAAGTCTAATATTTTTAATAATGAATAAACATTACCTATTAATGTGGAACTGTTTAGTGAAGTTTATGAACCACTACCTACTTAATTCTATATGGGAGGCAACTATACTCCGTACCACGAGAGAAGGAACCCGTTTCGCGCATGCAGACTGACGGCAGCTAGCGTTACTAAGCTCTATTTCCCCCACTTTATCCTCTACAGTTCGCGCTTTCGATATGTCAAATAAGTGGGGGATGCGCGGAGTCGGTTGCTATTTGGTCGGGACACGGGTTCCTTCTCTCGTGGCACGGAGTATAGTGTGAACATTTTTGGGAGGCAACTCGTATATAATTATGAACTACCTGGTCATCGGAGGMAACTAGTGTAAATTAACCTTTTTATTTACGATAAGGACGGGAGGCAATTCGTATATTTTGGGAGGTAACTAGTATGCGCCGGCATTTTTCTGGGCATTGATTGAAACGGTTCGCTCGGATGGACGGCCCGTGTCTTAAATAAATGTTAGACTTTGGTTTGTTTTTGGTAATTAGGTATCTCTCTATTTCTATTTATAATATATATATATGTACAATGTAAGGGCGAGTAAAGCGTCGATTTGTGTCAACCAGACT